GAGAATTCAAAAATGCAATAAAATACAGGGTGTTCCATTTAAAAATGTATACATCTTGCCCATAACTTTTTTTTGAGATGTTCAATTGTTTTTCTGTGAACATATTCAAAATCTACAGGAAAAACTATAAAAGACTGTTCTTTGAAATAAAAATTCGATGATGAATAAAATAGTTAAGAAGGGGTTCAAAATATACGCGAAGACCCTTTACACCGACTATAGAAAACATGTGATGTTGGATTAAAAACAAGATTTTATTCGAATAGGTATACGTCCGCCACTGATGAATAGTGTCAAGTAAGTAAACAACATAGGTAATGCAATACCCAACCTTTCTAGAGTTTATAGCAACCAAGTACAAGTACCTTTAGATCACTTGATTTAGTTTGAAGTTCAATCATGATCAATAATCAGTTGTACTTCATGGTATCATATTTGTTTTGTTTGTAATCTCTTGAATGAAGTAACTATCCAAAATAAACAAATGACCGTACAGTAATTATTATAATTGTCAACACTTTGTGGTTTCTAAAAATAGATATGCGTTCAATGTTATGAGATAAAAGAACAAGAGATCTTTGGGGTATTGGCATTTGGAAATAAATTGGCAGCTATAGATACACTAAATGCATTGTCTATCTTGCACCAGCAGGATTTTCAGGAATTCAATGTCAAGGGCAAAACAGTTTCAGTGTCTTGAAACTTATTCATTTAGGCAATAGGTATTTGAACTGAAAACTGAAACATCTAAAAATCAGAACAACCCATTACACTTCTGAAAAAGTCACACACTTCTTCAGGACTGTGACTTGTTCAGGACTACCTAGTTCAGAGAATATAGTTATCTCGATAGTTATTTACCACCCTTGAAAGGTTTCTGTGGAGCTTTCAAAAACTATTGAATTATCAAACCTGAAAATTCTGGTCTAGCAGGAAAAAATTCGGATGAAAATGAATGAACCATGAACGGATCATTTCAGATTGTTAGTTGGATATCTACCTCTGACAGAATTTATGCACTAGAAGTGGTGAATGAATCATGAAGATGATGCCTAATCCAAATTCTATGAATGGTGTGGAAGGCTTTTCTCAAATATATATACTGAGTGAGTCAGTTATTCTTTCTTTCGTCATCTCGATTTTATAAATAGTGAATCATCAGATTGTCTTCTTGAAATCGGTGCTCATTTCAATGAAAAACAAAATGTAAGCCACCAATGAAGATGAAAATACAGGGCGTTTTTATTATAAAGACAATAATTCATCTTCAGGAAATGAATGGCCCGCACAGGCGCACAACTCAACAATATATGAAGAATGATGGACTACATGATAATTATAATAATTATTTATTATTTGTTCTTCTCGATATTTGAGTAAACAACAACAATCCCATAATGAATTCAACATTTTTCTGTCTGGCATACTTTACTTCACTTTACTTTCTGATGCATTCTGCATTATCAGCTTATCTCAATAGATAAAATATATCCTTCTTTCCTCAAATTCATTCAGTCATCAGTGTAATGATAGATGAAAAATTTTACTTAATTTCTATTCATTTACTTTTCCACTTGTTAATTCAATTCCTAGTATGTTTTGTAGTAACTCATCATTAGTTCTCTATTGTCGAATTTCAATTCGTTCTGCTTTAGTATTGAATGATTACTTCTGCATACAGGGTGATTGACACAAAGTTCACGTTACATCTACATCTACTCGGTACCTGCTCGTCAAAATTAGGAAAAAGTTTTTATGAACATATTGGTCCAGACACTTTTATCAATTTGAGATACGAACGTTTCGAATTTTGAGATGAAATCAGGTTTTTTCATAATTCCCAAGCGATTTTCAACAGAAGTTCGAAATTTTGAAGTATCAAAACATTTTTATACAGTAGGGAAACCTACTATGATGGAATAAAGTCCGTATTTCCATAGTAGAAATATATTTTTTGAAAATCTATTTTTTACATAAAAAATTATCAACCTCTACAAATCAACCCCTTCCACATTTTGAAATTGTACAAGAGGTCAAGTTACACCTTGTTAGAGAGGTATTTTGAATCTCTATACAACGGTCTATTTTTTCTTCAACTCGGTTGTCATATTCACAAGAAAGCAGTCGAAAGATTTAAAATTTATCGGAATTTTTTGTTCAAATTAATGGTAACGTTAGATACTGTTCCATTGTATTTCTCACAAAATGAATTTACCTACATTCGAAATCAGTTTTTTTTACTGAATGTCTGTCTACGCTTTTGTACAAGATACTAACCTATCATTACACCAATAATTTGGACAAAAATTCTGATACTGCTGTTTCGCGAATATGGCTCAACCGAATGGAAAATAAAAATGACTTACTCCAGTGTGTATTTTCGGTATATCTCCTCCTGCAAATTTCAGAATCGTAACTCGTGCTTCCATTAGAAGTGAGACACACTATACGAGGTGTTTTCAAAATAATTACATATATTCAGCGCATCGATATTCATTCAGTCTAACAAATACATTTTATCCCGAAAATTGAACAGAACACGGAAAAAAGTACGCCACGTTATTGAAATCCGCGTGGTTGTGCCTGTCGCACGAAAATTCGAACAGAGGTGACGTCAGAATTGGTACAGTGTAGAGCTTTGGGTGGCAAATTTAATGTTGATCCCTTCATTTTTTTTATTGTTGCCATTCGATAGTATAACGTCGAGGTTTCCTAGGGTTTGAAATATTCGTATTTATTTCAATGTATATACTTATGTGACATAACTTAGGGTTGCCATCCGTCCGGATTTCCCCGGACATGTCCGGGTTTTAGAGGCGTCCGGGGACGTCCGGGCGGGTTTTGAAAAATTGTCCGGATTTTTGTCACTTCAAACCACTGACATAAACTATTATCATGTCAGTGAAAGTTTGCTCAAAAATTGAAATTTGGTATTATTTATGTGACTAATATTGAGTTTTTATTCGATTTGTGCAACAAAAAATATGTAGGTAATATACCCGAATTCACCGAATTCACCATTCACCATTGAACTCATTCATATGTATATGAAAATGGAATTACAAAAAATGATTCCGAGATTTCAAAATTCCCGCTGTCCGGATTTGTCCGGATTTTCAAGTAGCCTTGTCCTGGTTTTCACATTTTTCAGGTGGCAACCCTACATAACTTATCCAAGGTAATTGAATCCTTTGCTATACTTCTGCGTCGAAGACTTTGATGAAAAACTGAAGGTTGAGCCGTCAAAATACGCTAGATAAAAAAGCGATTTTTGAAAAATGTACATGATTCGCTAGCGAATATCTCGAAAACGATGAATGATACGGAATTTCGTAGATGATTTTATCAGCTATAATTTTGTATAAAATTGACTTCTTTGCAGTGACGTACCGTTCTTGAAATATGATGAACGAAAAATTCAAAAAAGGGACTTTGTACGTCGCCCCCTGTACTTGGTTCACCTTGTAAGCTCGGGGCCTTTGGAATTATTACTTCCTATCCACTCCAAACACATCCCTATAGTGTCAAAAAGCTGTTCTCTTCATGTCCCCTACACCCCCTTATTGGGCGTTCATTGACTGTGTGGAAACATGATGGAATAAATGTCATATCTCTATAACAAAAATATATTTAAAAAAATTCTAGGACCGGTCGATTTTCATTTTTTTTTTCAACCACCTGTCAACCTCTTACCTTAAAGATCAACCCGAGGATCAACCTCTTCAAACTACCTATTCGAATTGAACTAGGGGTCGAGTTACATCTTGTTAGAGAGGTATTTCAAAACTCTAAACAATAGTCTATTTTCTTTCAAATTCGGTTGGCCATATCCACGATGTATAGAGATTTGAAATACTTCTGTCTAACAAGGTTTAACTTGACCCTCGACTTGACCCCTTGTATACAATTCAAACATTTTGAAGGGGTTCATCTGTAGGATAGGAGGGTGACATGTGCTTGAACATTTTCATGCAAAAAAATATATTTTCGAAAAAAAAATCGACATGTATGAGGATTTTTCGAATATATGTTTGTTACGGAGTTACGGATTTCATTCTACCATAGTTTCAATCGAGAGGTAAACCACGGTCAAAATTGTGTACACCAAACTTCAATTTCACAAGGAATTTCAAGGAATTCCAGTTGTTTGTACACCAGAATTATACCGCACTTCACACAAGGAATTCCAAGAAACTCCGAGGAATTTCAGGGAATTCCAAGGAAATCCAAGGAAATCCAAGGAATTCCAAGGAAATTCAAGGAATTCCAAGGAATTTATAGGAATTTCAAGGTATTCCAGTTGTTTGTACACCAGAATTATACCGCACTTCACACAAGGAATTCCAAGAAACTCCGAGGAATTTTAGGGAATCTCAAGGAAATCCAAGGAATTCCAAGGAGATCCAAAGAATTCCAAGAAAATCCAAAGAATTCCAAGGAATTCCAAGAAATTCTAAGAAAATCCAAGGAATTCCAAAAAATTCCAGTAGTTTGTAGCCCAGAAATTGACCGCATTCCACCCAGGGTATTCCAGGAAATTCCGAGGAAATCCAAGGAATTCCAAGGAAATCCAAGGAAATCCAAGGAATTCCAAGGATATCCAAGGAATTCCAAGGAAATCCAGGAAATTCCAATGAATTCCAGGGAATTCCAAGGAATTCCACCGCGGTTTACCCCTCGGGTTCAATCAATCAATCAACTTTATTATTCCCAACATTTGTTTATAGCAGGGAACATGGTGAACATATAAATATATTTGACAAAATAAAGAAGATATAGTAAAATAAGACTCACACAAAGGAAAAAATCATTTTTTTTCAAGTTCAACTGAAAATGATTCCTAATTGGCTCAGCTGTTAGGTAGTAAAATAAGACTCACACTAAGAAAAAGAACATTTTTTTTCAAGTTCAACTGAAAATGATTCTCAATTGAGCTGTTAGGTTAACACACTGTTGGTATTCCGCGCTCACCACGACCACCGAAGCCAGAGCCCACTCACCGATATTGACGATCCTGATGCTCTCGTCGTCCTGCAGGAACTTCAGCGCCACCGACACGTTCTCCAGCTTCTGCGACCGGAACGACGGCTTCTTGTTGTGCTTCGGCAGCCGCTTACCCGACAGCACCTCGATCAGCGCTATCAGCCTCAGCCCGTCGCCGAGGTCGCTCTCCAGGTTCCCGATGTGCTTCGACACGGTCTTCAGGTGCTCGTTGGCCCAGCGCGTGAACGTGTTCTGCTGGATCTTCTTCCATTGCGCGTCCTCGGCCAGCTCGCGCTCGGTCGTCGCCATCTCGATCTCGCTTTCGTCGTCCCACGACGGTTCTGCGGGTACTAGGCGCTCGTTCGACTCGTTGGAGTCGGTCGGCCTGCGGGGTTCGACCGGTCCGAAACCGGTGTCGCTCGAGTAGGGAAACTGGCTCATCTTCGCCTTCGGTTCGGTAGAGTCTGATGCGGTACGGTACGGACCGCTCGGTGCCCTCGGTGGCTAGTTCAAATCCTATTTATTCCATCAAAAATATTTCACATTACAAGGGTGTACAGATAAAAAATATGAAATAAGGGACGGTGGACATAACAGATGATTTTTTTTTTATGTTTGATAAATTGATATTCATTATACACTTATACAGGACGTGGAAAGAAATTCTGAATTGAAAAAAAACCTAATCACGAATTTGCGATTGAGGTCTATAGAAATAACAAGTTTCCATCGTTCATGTTTGAGCTCCTTGATTGGGTGAAAGTATTGAAAAGGAATATTCTCAGATATAATTATGAACATGAAAAAATGGATATATACAGGGTGTTCCTTAAAGACATGCCAATATTTGAGGGGGTGATTCTCTGACTCATTTTAAGAAGAAAAGGTAAAACTGCATTTAGCATGCGATGGGTTTTTTTTCGAAAATTTTTTTTGGTACTTACGTATTTTTGTCTGAAAAACACGAATTTGAAATATGAAAATGTGAACAAACCACTATTTATCGAGATATTTCGCAAAAAAGTTAGAAATTTCGACTCCTTTTTCCCCTTGCGTTGGATGCATTTACAGGTACTTGCTCTTCTTATTTTGTCATTGGACACTTTATATACTCATGATGTACTTAACTGACACATTTTTATACAGAAAATTCAACAGGATATATGATTTTTATGGTAAGTTTTTCCTATTTAGTGAGCAAGCATACCAGATGACGGCCATTTAATCCATAGGCAATCCAAATACGAGATGTCAAATGTCAATAGATTGCTTTGGAATGACATTACACACGCCATTATTTCAAATGATATTCTTCCTTCTTTTCACTAAATATGGATAAATCACAAGAAAATCATATTTCTAGTGAATCAATAATAGAAAAAAATGTGGCTTACATTGTGATATAATATATAAATTGTCCAATGATGAAAAAAGAAGGGTAAATTGTTTTAAATTCAATCCAGAAGACAGGCAGAAAAGTAGGTGAAATTTGTAACTTCATAGTGAAATATCTTGATAAATAATGGTTTGTTCACATTTTCATTATCAAATTCGTGTTTTTCAGACAAAAATACGTAAGTACCAAAAAAAATTTTCGAAAAAAAAACCATCGCATGCTAAATGCAGTTTTACCGAAGAAAACTTCATATGAACGTATGTCCTAAAAGTATTAACTTTTGAGATACAGGGTGATGAAGTTTTGAAAGATATTCAGTTTTATGATGATAACTAAGACGATATTTTATACATATTTTCGAAATTTGGTACACGTCTCTTATGCATCAAGTTTCATTTTCTGATGTACAAAAATTTTCATTTTCTCTACCAGTGGCACCGTTACGGAAAAAATATTGTTTATATTTTACTTGAAAGTGAGCAACGACGAAAAATTTTCGAATTTCATACAATGCTATAAAAGGCTATTTAATTATGTACAAAAAAGATCCACTTGTTGATACTCGATAGAACGCTACGTTTTCGAGGAAAAACGGAAAAACGAGACCAGACTTCAAATTTTTGATGTTTGAGTACTCCATTCAGGACATCCATTACTGGATAACCACTGTATGTAACATTTCGAAATTTGTATATACCGATTCAGTCACATAGCAGACTGAATTTTGCCATCACGAAAAGCTATACAGGGTGGACAAAAAACAATCTATGCTTATTTTCAACATTGACACCCTGTATCTCAAAAGTTAGGACTTTCACGACATTATGTTCATATGAACAATTCGGCGAATATCAGTGAGTTGCCCTGGGCAAGTTGCCCAGGGCAAAAAAGATTGAGCGTCAGTTGCTGCCACGATCTGTGTAACGTTGGAAAATCAAAATACAAAAACCAACTTCTAATAATTCAAGTCATGGAAACCATCCATTCTCACAGTGGTCCAGAATTTTTCAACGCGAAAAAAAAAAGGAAAAAAACCGACTTTGAGTCCGTTTTTTCTCAGGTTTCTAATAATTCGTTTGAAAAGACTCTGTGAGGGGTGTGGGGTAAGATTTGTTAGGTGGGTAGCTTAGGGATCTATCAGACTGATTTCGGAGGTCGGCTGTGCCTGGTTATATTCTTGATTGGGCGCAGCCAATTGCTTGCGCCTCACCTCTTGGATGGTAATACTCGGGAAAGTCGTCCTGCGATAGCGTTGATAGCGTTAGTCTAGTAGTCTATGGCCTACGGTCCGGTCCTTGGTGGATGTTGATTAGAGCCTAGCCATAGCACCACTATACGGAAAATATTGCCACGGTGGCAAGTCAAGAGCGTATAAAATTGTTTTGTAGTTGCTTATTTGCCAGAAGCGTGGTAGTCATTAGAATAGTGTTCCTTCCTCCGAGCTAAACGAGAAGGAGGTTTTTGTTTTTGAATTCCAATTTTCCTCCATAAAACACAAATTCCACCACTGATAGCGTCTGAACGGCTCCCCCACCCATTGGGTAACCTCAGTGAAATTAGCTATATAAAGGGCTTAGCCTCAGGAGATAGGCTTGTAAACTAAATGTGGAAGACAATAAACAACAATAATACCTTCCTCCGAGCGAAAAAACCGGGGTTCGATCCCAACCCCAGCCAATCTTTTTTTTTTTTTTCGAAGTAATTAATCTAAAGAGTACTATGGAAGTATTTTCTATTGGTTAGGTCGATAGTGATTCGCAATTCCAATTATGTTTCTTCTCAGGATCGGCCGGAAATTTTCAGTTTCTCGCGCCCAGCGAGCGAGGCGCAATATCACCTCGCTATGGTGCTATGGTGCTATGGCTAGACTCTAGTGTTGTAGTTCGCTCGATAACGCTGTGACCCCTGGAAGAACGGCGGTGTTCATAGTGCTCTTCGGCTTCGCATTCCTGCTGGGGGCAGGGCCTATTTTACCATAAGGCCGGGCCTTGGGCCCGGAGGAAAGGGAGTCCCGAAAAAGGCTTGAAAAATTTAATTATAAACTATACTACTTACCACATGAAGTGGGACACCCCCAAAAAAATGAATAATTTCGACAAGCTATAGCATAATACTTGGACATTTCTTGGGCGATGTTAGATTTTCAACTATAGGTAGAAAGCGTCATCCTTAGTCTATGCGTCATTGGCGTTTTTTTTTTGCGATTTGTTCTCTTTGTGCAGGGTGTGAATTTAGAGCCGGAAACATTTCAAATTTTCTACCAATAGTTTGGTAAATGTGAGGAACCCTGGAATTTTTTTTAAATTTTCGTTGAACCTTGAGACGTCTTTGAATTTTTTTTTATAAATTGCGTTCCTATGGAAATCGCCATTTTATGAAATTCCGTTTTTATTTTAAAAAATACCTTTTTTAGTTAAACAATAACAGCCACCATCTGAACTGCAACGAGGGAAATTTATACGGAAGATAATCAACACCAGTGGCGCGCAAAAAGGGGTTTATGATATTTAGGCACAGCCTGCTCTAGGATAATCCTCCGAAAGAGGATGGTAAATTCGAGGTATTTTTTTACGGAAAAACATAATACCTTATTCATCGACTTAGACATATTTGGAACTCTCAAGTTTCATTATCAGCTCATACTGAGTGTGCAGAAAACATTATTTCCCTTTTATTTCTATCTAATAGGTACCTACTAATACCAAATTTCTACATGAGTGTCGTATTATGAAAATGGGGGTCCTTCATAAAAAACCAACCTGTATATTTATGTACGTTCTTTTAAATATATTTTTCCTGATTTCAGGTTTATAAGAGTTTATTTGTTCATTTGTGATAGCTTTTTGACATTGGGCGTTGAAAATGCTCTGGTAGGTGGCCTCATGAAAAATTTCATTGACGAAAATAAATACTTATAGCTAAAAAATCCAAAAGCAAAACACCTGCAACTTGCTATCTAAACAAAATGTGAGAAGAAGAATCATACACTGACATAAAAAATAGAACTGAAAGCTATCAGAATCCGTTCTTTTTTATTTTTCTTCGAAACTTACTTCAAAAACTCAAAAAGCTTAGGACATCAGTAACACTCCTTGGAAATCCATATAGGGTGCAGTTCAAATTAAGTTTCATATCCCCATGCAAAATCTGAAAATTATGAACTATGTGTAAGTACATACGAATTCGCTTATTTATAAATACCAATACATTTTGATACTTAAGCCACATGTATGTGGTCGAAATCTTGTTTGCTATAGGAAAAAGTAGGTGAGAAATAAAATATGGCGATGAAGAATCGGAACGAGAAAATACTGGTCTGGTCGTCTTATTTTCCATGATTAATATGCATTTTCATTTTGGAAGAGTCATTCTGAAACACCCTGTATCTATGTACAGGGTGTTTCCGGCTGAGCACATCTAGATATCTGCAACAACCTCGGTTTGAACGTAACCATATTGCCTATTGGTATTTGGTTATAAAGGGTGTTTCAAAAAAAGGTGAGGTCCTTGCTAGGGTAGATAGAACACTGCAAAATAACTTGGGTTTGATACAAGGTGTTGAAAAAAAAAGGTTGTTTACACATTTTTTACGATCATGCCGAAACCACTGGCAACATTGAAATGAAATTCAATATAAGTATGTTCTGGAAGCTGACACACATGCATTCGTTCTCATATCTGATTTTCATAGATGACGCTAGTCACTTTGAACATAACATTTTTGAGGGTAGATTTTTCAGACAAAATTTTATGGAAACTTGAACATAATTCAATTTAGTACAAAAAATGTACTCTTGATATCACTCAATACTATGTAGGTACCGTTTTCGAAATATTTTGATTTGAAAATATTGGTGTGATGGCTGATGCCGGTATAAAATTGGTAGGTATTATTGAGATCAGTCACCCATTTATTTGAATTCAAGAACGATAACATTATTCTTGTGCTAAAGTTATCGATTTAACAAAGAATCACAAGTACTAAAAACTCTTGCAGTGAATTTACCTCTGTAGCATAGACTTAAGAAATAACCAAACTGTGTAATCCATGTTTTTAGTCAAATTTATTTCAATGTTATTCTTGTGATTCAAGTTCAGCATTATAAATATATTGTTGTTTTCGATTTTAAATAAATAGGATATATTTTTTCATCCTATACTTTCTCTAATACATAGCTAGTATCTATACCAGCAACAGTTATCACTTCATTATTTTCAAATCAAAATATTCCGGAAATTATGCACAGTATCGATTATTACCAGGAGTACTGTTTTGATGTGAAATTGAATGATGTTCAAGTTCAAAACTACTCGGTACGAACCGTGTAACTATAGCGCTAACAAATTCATGCATGGGATGTGTCAGCTTCCAAAACATATCCATACAAAATTTCATTAGAATGATGCCAGTAGTTTCGACATAATCGTGAAAAATGTGTAAAAACATATTTTTTCAACACCTTGTATCTTGGAAACGGATATCGTTACGACAATTTTTCACCTGCCCTAGCAAGAAAGTCACCTTCTCTCGAAACACCCTGTATAACAATGCACCAGAACTGCACCTGGTAGGGAAAAAAACAACAGCATCTTGGGAGTAGATGAGATGACGTGATTTCGACATCCGAACTAATTTTGTTACAAAATGCCATTAACCACAATGAAATGGCATTGCAGAAATGGTGCTCACTGACATCATTGCCTTTTATTTGACTTTGAATTTCTCGTTCATTTGGGTTATGCGCGAGCTGCCGATCTAAACACTCCTTGTATGGCATTGTACTCTTTACCATCTAAGGACACCCATATTTTTTTCTCTACTTGGCAATCAAACTTCCACAGAGTGAATTGTTTAGGTTTTCGAGAACGTTGACTTGATTTGTCCGAGCTGTTGCGACATTCATGTTCAAAAGATTCCGAGACGAAATTACATTGATCGAACGTTATCGAATTGAACGTTACATTCCTTCAAAATGAAGGTAGACATCAAAAAATCGAGCCAATTTGATAACTTTATAAATAGCCGATCTGTAAGTTTTCAATCACATTTACAGTAGCTCAGAGGGTCCTAATTCCTAATTTGAAATGAAACAACCTGAATAACTCTTGAAAGAATCATCTCATGATAGTTATTGGTACCTACCTAATACACCTTTTTCCCGAATTACGAATGTGTCATAAGCATAGAAATATAATATGTGGGTGTTCATAGAGTACGAAAAAATGTGGTATTCAATGTATAACAGGATGATTCATAACTCCCTCAGTTATTGGACTTTTCATGCTTATTATAATACCTTAGGGTTACGTCTTTTGATGGACTGGCATTTTTTCTTTAAAATTTCGATTCTCATCAGTGTTTGGGGATCATAATGCAAATGAAAATGACCCAACAATCACAGTTATATCACAGCAATGTAACGTTTGTGACATGCGATATCGCATTTCAAGTCACTAGACGTCACTGCAATTTCAGAGGGATGTTATTTTGTCCCACTCAAGTTCTCTGCGATATAACAGCGACATCATTTTTGCAAAGTAATTGTGATATGTTATTTGTGATGGAAAAGCGATGTGTTTTTGCGATAAAACTAGAGTGTGATAAGAGATGATGTGAAAAAGTTTCCTCAAACATGGTGTGATAATACACCATTGACCTCTGATGACATCTAATAATATTGATTATGCATCGTTTTGACTTTTTGTTGGTCCTTCGGGTCTCCTGTCCATTCAATAGTCTTTTCAGCAGCGCTATCCTTAGTACATACAGGCATATCTTTCAGGATGAGGTCAGTTACTCGTATTTGTATCAAAAATTATGTATATAGTGTGTGTCGTCGAGATGTAAGCAAACCAAGAATCGTTTGATAGCAATTTAACGAATGTTCACGAATTCAGCTTCACTTTGTTGAGTACCGTATATTCATGTATTCTTTTTGACCCAACAGGAATTTGAATATCAGATTTTCGAATTTCTGAAATACGAAGTTCACATGTATACATCGCAGCGATGCAACATTGGTGATATCGCAGTGTTGCCTCATCATGTCACCTTAGAAATGTCATGTCGCAGATGTGTTTGCTTCTTTACATCGCAGCGATAAAACATTCGTAATATCGCAGTGTTGCCTTGTCGCGACATCTCAGATATGTCTTGTCGCAGATGTGCCTACTTCTGTGCATCTCAGTGATTGTTTATTTGCTTATGAACATCGCAGCGATGGAACCTTTGTGATATCGCACTGTTATTCAAACGCGACATCTCAGGGAGGTAATGTCACAGATGTGTTGGCTGGGGAATATTTGTCATACAGATTGAATGTTTTTCCAAGAAACTTATTATGGAAATTTCACTAAAACAATCATAAAAATACTCATTGTTACTATCAATTCATATAGTTTCATTAGATTCGTTTTGACAATAACAAAACAATATCTGATGAAAAAATTGAGAAAATGGAACTAAACAACTACTCATATTACGCATGACTGATTATGTTGTATTGTAACAATCAATTCCTTCGATAAGACAACTTATCTGTGGTTTGCGAGAGCGTTTTGATTATCATTCAGAATCCATGGAAAAAATATGACACAGAACTGATTCATTCATACAGAGGTGTTTTTTTTTTCATAAATTGCCCAATCACAATTACGCATATATGTATACATTCATAAGTGCTGATGAAAGAGACAATATCGATACCAAAATATGAGTGAGAATCTACAAGGTGTCCCGAAATTACATAAGAGTCTGCTGCGTACCAAAAAAAATGCTTTTTCGTTATAATAGGGTAGCAAATTTTTCCAAAAACTATTTTTTGATAGAAAACACCCTTTTTTCAACATCTACCTGTGATGTTTGAAAATATGTGAGGAACAATAAAAAAAATAATTTGAAAAATATTATGGTGGATACCCTATTGAGAGAAAATACAATTTTTATTACTCAGCAGACTTTTGAAATCGATTTATTCCAAAATGGTGAGTGTTATGGAAACTGAACAGGTGTATCATTTTTAGGTGAAAATGATGTAATTTTCATATTTCCTGGTCACACTGCCGAAAATTGCATAGAAAAAAAAGTTGAGGAAAGAAATGCCCTTATTAGCCTCACCTATTTCCCACGACCCTGATAAAAATTTCGAAAAATTCTCAACATTTCAAAATCGGGCATGAAAAGAAATCTATACATGTACGAAATTTCGTTATCTCAACAGAAAGGGTTTCGGGAATATTTAATAACTCCTCAGAGGGCCATTTAGTAAGTATAGTAGCATCTAGGTGTTCATGGAGATATGGTATAGTTTCATATCACTTCAATTTTCATACAATATTCGTATAGATATCTTAGAAATCTCTACATGTTTCCTGTATAAACTTATTGAGAAACCATAATTTTAGATGTTATTTCAATAAGTTTGATAGGCGATTTGATCAGAAAGTTATACGTATATATAATCATGTTTTATTACAGTTTTTTCATGTGAATTAACAATACCAAACTGAATCAGATTATTCACTATCAAAATCGATTATTATCAACTTATTTTTTTATATCCTTTAAATGAGTACGGGTGCACTTATTTTATCAGAAAAAGAAATAATATATAGCTTTGTTTTATCGAATTTTCTGGATGATAATTTTCATTTGCCGGCCTGATCTCTTTTGAGTAAAGCTGAAAGTAGGTGCAGAAAACTATTCAAAATAATCACATCAATTTAAAACATCATACCTGTGTATTTTTTTTTTTCAAATAACTTAGCTTCAAGTTATTATTAACCACTGTACTGGAACTAAAGGAATTTTTCGAATCTGGGAATTGGGATTGAAAACATTTAGTCTAATAAGTGCTGGTATTTCCTTCTGTCGAGAATTCAGTCGCGGTTTTTCAGTGCGGTTAAGAACCGCCCTTCCGGTGGTGGAATTCAAAATAAAAACTAAGCTTTAATTCACAATATCCTTGCACTTTTGTAACACTTTTAGTTGTGGTTAAAACAAGACTGAGCGCGTCTCACTAAGATATATATAAAACTAAGAATAGAACTTTCTGTCCATGAGTTTTAGTTGTTTATAGATTGTCTCTTCAAACTTAACCCCACTTTCCGTTCATTTCCCATTTTTAATCTCTCGATGTTCACATGGATGGCGATTTTTTTTTTTTCTGTCATGTGATTCATCTACTATAGGCCAGTCGTTGCAGACATTATTAATGGCAATGAACAATTTTTCAATAATTTCAACAGTTTTTGATCTATAGTGAACTGTTCCATACCACCTGAACAACAATAATTATCAATTTTATACATTTTCCGAAGTCTGAAATATTTTCTAAATTGCAATTAGATCACTTTTTTTGTTGGAAAAAATGCGAAAGTTCTGGATCATTTCTCAAAATTTAAAATTATTTTTTCTTCAATAAAATCACGCACAAATTAATATAAAATTGTATCAATGTGTGTCAAAGAAAATTTTTTCAATAATTTCAACAGTTTTTGAACTATAGTGAACTGTTCCATACCACCTTAACAACAATAATTATCAATTTTATACATTTTCCGAAGTCTGAAATATTTTCTAAATTGCAATTAGATCACTTTTTTTTTTGGAAAAAATGCGAAAGTTCTGGATCATTTCTCAAAATTTAAAATTATTTTTTCTTCAATAAAATCACGCACAAATTAATATAAAATTGTATCAATGTGTGTCAAAGAAAATTTTTTCAATAATGTCAACAGTTCTTGAACTATATAGTGAACTGTTCGATACCACTCAGAAACAATAATTATCAATTTGATATATTTTCCAAAGTCTGGAATATTTTCGAAATTGTCATTGAATTTGTTTTTTGCCAAAAATGCGATTGTTGTGCAAAATTGGAGTATTTTTTTTTTTATCGCTTGGAGCGCACGAAAGGGAATCCCTATAATGTTCAGTTACAAAACTCTGCACCAAATTTTAACGTATATGATGGATAATTTTTAAAATCAGAAATTAATTATTCCTTTAATAAAATAAAGCACAAAATAATATAACTTTCTGGAAAATAGTATCAATGCGTGTCAATGAAAAATTTTACAATAATTTCAACAGTCTTTGAACTATAGTAAACTGTTAGATGCCACTTAAGAAACTATATATTTATCAATTTGATACAATTTCCAAAGTCTGTTATATTTTCGAAATTCTGATTGGATCAATTTTTCAAAAAATGCGAAAGATCTGGAAATATGGAGCTGTTTAACTCTGCACACAATTTTAACGTATGATGAATCATTTTTCAAAATTAAAAATTAATTTTGTCTTCAAATAAAATGCACAAAATAATATAAATTTATGGAAAATTGCATCTCATTAGATCTTCTGAGCGCAGCCAAAATTTATTAGAATAAACATTGATTTTCAATTATAAAAATGTTCCTTGTTTAAATTGGTCTCAATACATATGTGAACTCTCTCAATCAGCGAATCAAATTGTGAGTTTGGTGTTTTCATTATTCAGAGAAAACTAAGTAAGAAGGCTGTGATGGATGAATGAAAGTGGCTTGAAATAGGTATTTTCTCTTAACAGGATGGGGCACCTCCACATTCCTCAATACAAGTGAGAAAATAGGTAGATACCTGTAGACAAACAATTCCCTAACTCTGGATAGGTGTGGCGGCCCTCATTCTTGGCCTCCTAGGTCCCCTAATCTCACAGTATTGGACTATTATCCATGGAGACATATGAAACGATCGATCTATCATACTGCAGTTAACACCAAAGAGGAACTGATGAAGGAGAGGATTGTTACAGCTTACAGCTTCAGATATGATCAGAAATAATAGTCAAATTATTCGAAACACCATCTGAACTGAGAAATGTCAAGGCGAATACAAATTTGCTATTCAAGTATCCATTTTTTATGTTGAAAACGGGAGAAGATTCGTTTCCGAAATGTCCAAAGCTAAGTGAAAATTTTATATTTTTTCTATATAACTTTATTTCTCTTCTCCAAACCTTTTTCAATAGGGAAATTCTTCAAACGCAGTGACATTTTGGGGCAAATCATCTGATTTGTCCTTACTACACGTACGTACGAACATCTCTTAACCAAAACTCGTTTGTCTATAGAACGTCAAATCTTTGGATTGTTTTGCCAAGGGACGGGTTCCCAAGAACTTCTAATCTCCAAAAGTTTTTAAATAATCTAATACCTAAATTCTCTCCCTATCCTCCCTAGGTACGCAGAAATATAAAAGCGATTCCCTTTCTTGCGCTCCAAGCGATAAAAAGGTCGAAAACCTGTTATGAAATAACACATTTTGAGAACATTCAAAGTACATTTAATCATCCACGAATTTTACCTTATATTTTGTTTTCATACACTTCCTGATCTTCCATACAGTTTGAAAATTTTTGAAATTATTATGAATCGATTGTCTTGATTGACTGTTCTACTAGTGTTTCCTTCAATCGAGGAGAGGGGATATCAGTTACTACTATAGTCAGCAGTTTTAGTGGGTCAACGGAAAATCTGCCTGACCGAGGGTATTGCAAATTTCATTTTACTGAGAGATGCAGTCTTTTAATTTCATTCAGTGTAGCAATAGTTGCGAATAATACCTGATCAGGCAAAAATGATATAGGAAGAATCATCGCTTTATGTACTGAGGAAACTATTTAAATGTACAGTGCTTACGTAAAATACCTACTGAATAAATTCATTACCAGCCAAACTACCAATTTCTGAAGAATTTTCTGAAACAGGTCAATTTTCATTTCCAATTCTCCACATTTATAGGAGAAAATCAAATATACAGAGTGATCCACGTTTGAGTTATGAGGACTGCGAATTTGTTTTTTCAAAAAGAACACCCTATATAATATTCAATCTTTGGAATCATCATGAAATACTGAATTCTTCAAAAATGTTTTGCACATATATAGGATTTGTTAACAGTGCGTCCGTTCGGAAAAATTGTTGCGGACGTCGTAACTCAAACGTGGATCACCATGTATTATCAATTTTTCGTCATCAATGTGGAAAATTGAAAATAAAATTCGACTTGTTTCAGGAGATTTGAATAATTGAATAATATATAGGGTGTTCCATGAAAAACTTGTCGCGGTCGTCATAACTCTAACGTAGATCCCCCTGTATATCTAATTTTCCGTTATAAATGTGGCAAATTGAAAAAGAAAATCGCAATCATATACAGTAGGTTAATGTCAAATTGTGGAATAAATTCGTTATTTAATTTCCTATCACGTAAGCAAGTTTATGGCTATATTCCGAAGTCAACTGAATCTGCAGATTTTTCATTCGGAAATTAAAAAAAAAATACTGGAAGTGACACATACATGTGAGTAGGTAAACGTAAACTAGTCATTCCAAATATTCCGACACAACATTCTGCTGGAATATTGCTGACTATCAAAAAGTAGTGTGGCTGCAGTGAACTCACATCATTTACGAAGGGGAAGAAATGTCACAATTCATTTTTTATTACAAAAAATGCCCGCCATTAAAATAATTGGCCAGATAAACGAGTTACTACAGAAGTGAGAACCTGGTTAAAATCTAAAGAATATAAAATAGTTGATTTGCAGTGGTTCCGTCATCTATTGGAAAGTCATTGAAACAAAGCTTTTCTGTCTTAATAGGAATCTAGCGCTCTCTGGCGGTGAAGAATTGAACTTCGAGATCATTTGATACAAAATTCCTGTCATTCTAAATGTAGTGGTTAGATGATACTCTCATAGAGGTCGTCGGTGATCGAATTTCGAATCTGAATAACACTAATAACAGATTAAATCCCAAATACCCTTGATTATATACACTCAATGCAAATACTCAAATTGTAATCGAACAAAATTGATTGAACTACTCTTTTCAACTTGATCAGTCAAAATTATTCAACCAATCAGTAGGTACTTGCGTTCGAAATGAAATCGCGCAAATAGGTATATATTTATTTGTCCGAATCAAATATCTAATTGTGACTAATTTTTTCGACATGAAAAAAAACAAAAATCATAACAGATCAACAGAGCGCTTGCGTGCAACAAAATGCAGTTACTCCACAGATCACAGAATAGACAAGTTTTGAGAAAGAAGGAAAGGACGTTTGTTTCACTGTTTGAAGAAAACTGACTCATGCTTGTTCTGTTTTTAGTACGCGCTCTACACGACGAGTTCATAAGTTGGCGTTCTCTTTTCTAGTTTGAGTTTGCGAATCATTTCAAGATCGGTTCGGATGATCGGGTGTCAGGTATCAACTCTCTGCCGAGTCTTACGCCAGTGCCGCTACAGCGGCACAGCAGTCACGGGACAGAAAGATCCACTTTCCACTTCCATCCCATGCCAGTGCCAGTTTGTATCTGTACAGTTCGTGTCGTGATAGTTTGTGTTGGCAACACGGCATAGAGTGTACGTTCGTTAACCTTTTAGAAAATATTTATTACTGCAAAAGTGTGAAAATAATTATTGGATAGTGTGTTGAAAGTGCTAAAGGGATTTTCACATTGGTATTCACCTGGACAGGTAGACAATAAATTCATCTTTGTTCAACAGATTTCAATAGTACAGTTATTTTTATGTAGGTGCCTACCTAGGTAGGTATAAGTATTTCTGGTATTTACTAAATTATCATTAATATGACATGTCATCCTGATGACAATAATAAATTGGCCCACTAAAAACGAATAGGTGTGCGCTCAATACCCTGCATTTATTTATAAATGCAATAAAATACCTATGCGATTCTGTGCAAGGCATCAAGGTCACATAACATTTTGCTGTGGAAGAATGTCATAAAAACAAAATACTGGAAGTTTTCACCGTTTTGAAAGATTCTCTTCGATACGAGAAGAAACTAGGTTCAACTTGTTAAGGTTGAAACCTAGAATATACTTCAACATTAATCTGTGCTTTAACAACTTGTTAATTCTAACATTTACCCGAGAATTCACCTCATCACCTTTTACCCGAGATACCTACCTACCTACCTACCTATTCAGTA